AGGGAGGGGGGAGGGAGGGAGGGAGGGAGGGAGGGAGGGAGGGCTGGAGAGATGGCTCAGACATCTTCCAGACATCATGAGATCTGGTGCCCTCTTTGGGTGGATTCTGGAGTAGGTTCTCTTACATTTGAATCTTGCCTCTCTACTCCTTCAGAAAGACCAATGCCTTTTTCAGTTTTTTCATCTGTAAAGTGGGATTAACTTTCTGTTTGTTTTTTGTTTTTCAAGATAGAATTTCACTGTATACCCCTAGCTGTCCCTGGAACTCTAAAGACCAGGCTAGGGTGGCCTCAAACTCAAAAGATCTGCTTGCCTCTGCCTCTGTCAGGATTAAGAGCATGTAACAGCACTGCCTGGCCAGGGATTAACTATTTTTAACTCACAGGATAATTGTAAAGATTATGTTAACTGGCTCATGTAAAAAGTTTACTCTGGATTAAAAAGTGAGGGCTTAATAAATGTTGATTACTTTGAACACTAAATTCTCAAAAAAGGACTTGTATCAGTAGGTGAAACTAGATGGAGTCAAATCTCACCTAGTTTGTCAAGAAGAACATTTTATAACCCATTTCAGTCTTCTTGGAGACTAAACTTTAAAAGATAGGGTCTCTCTAATCAGTCTTGGTTAGACCCAGGTTGGCCTTAAACTCAGAGATCTACCAGACTCTGCCTCTCCAGTGTTGGAACTAAAGATTATCTCACTACTCCCAGCCAGAATCTATCTCTGGTAACAATTGCTAGTCCAGCTCTTAAGAGTCCACACTAAACACCTTGCTGGCTGTTATCAGCACCAAACATGTAGCTAATATACCTTAGTAAGTTCTTGTTGCACAGACAGAGCACTAAACAGAATCATTCCCAGAAGCCCAGAATGCTTGACATACAGGGCCCCTTGAGGAAGGTATTTCTTTCAGAGTACACATCTATATACACAGAAACCAAAACATGAGGTTTGCCATTTAAACAGTGAACAATAGTCATCAGACAAAGCACTACTGTGGATTTCATATTCTGAATTTACCACTTGGAGGTATCAGTAGATTTAGGAATTTCTAAGTCAAGGGATAATTCTTATAATTCCCAAAAGACAAATAAGCTGTGACAGCAGCTTCAATGGATAACTTTATTACAGGAATGAACTCCTAGCCTGCGCTAGTCACGGGTCCTCATAGGTATGCCAACTTTGAGCTTATCTCATGTATTTCAAAAGTGGTTTCTCTTCTCTCTTTTTGGAGACATGGTCTTACTGTTTAGTTCTAGCTGGCCAGGAACTGAGAAGTCATCTTACCTCTGTCTTCTGAGTGCTGAGAATAAAGACATTTACTATTACCCAACTTAGTTTTCATTTTGCCTAAACTTCCAGCAGTTTTCAGGTCTCTACTTTCCCAGGGCTGGAATTAAAGTCATGTGCCAATCATCAAAGCTTAAAAGCAATGATTCCTTATCATCTCCTATAGCCTTTATATTTTTTCAGCCTTTATATTTAATCTGCACATATTAGACAACAATCTACAATGAAACTGCTAAAGATTATGAAGTGGTTTTAATAGTCTTATTTATGAACAGTCAATTATTCTACTAAGAGCAGTCATAAGAAAAACCTAAACAAAAACAATTAGGGTTATCTATGGCTTGATTATCCAGTTATCATCAAACATGGGTAGTTCAACTATAAAGTATATGTGTGACATCTATTCAACACATCTTTCCCCAATCCTATCAGCCCTTTTCCAGAAATCTACCAGTGTCTCTCAGGGAGATGGATCAACTAATAGAATGACACAATAATTTTTAGTGGTTGTCTACTCTCTACCATTTTCATATATTAAAGAAATTTATTTTGTTAAAGCTCACTAAGCTAAAAAAGCAAAGGTCAGTATCCCAATTAAACATGGTAGCCTGGCTCCTAAAAAAGTGTCATGTATTTAAAACTAAAATCCAATACATAACTTTTCTACAATGCTAAAGTTTATATTAGACTGAAAACCACTAAAACCCCTGTCTTATTTAGGGTTGCTATTGCTGTGACGAAACACCATGACCATAAAGCAAGTTGGGGGAAGAAAGGGTTTATTCAGCTCACACTTCCATACTGTTCACCACTGGAAGAACTTGGGACAGGAACTCAAATAGGGCAGGATCCTGGAGGCAGAAGCAGATGCAGAGGCCATGGAGAGGTGCTGTTTCTTGGGTTGGTGGTATGTTTTCTTATAGAACCCAGGACCGCCAGCCCAGGGATGGCACCACCCACCATGGACTGGGCCCTCTTCCATTGATCATTAATTGAGAAAAATGCCTTAGAGCTGGGTCTCATGGAGGCATTACTTCACTGAGGTTCCTTCCTCTCTGATGACTCTATCTTGTATCAAGCTGACACACAAAACCAGCCATTACACCCTAACTTGGCAAAATCACATGTAGATATTTCAAAGAGTTTTAATGAGAAGCTGCAAAAAAGGCATACAAACTTATGTCTGAGAATGGCAAAGCAACAACTCACTCTCTACTGCACGGATACTGAAGTGAACCCGTCTGACAGCTACTGAATACAAGCATCTACGTCCATTTTCTTTTTCACTAACTGCTCTTAGAGACAGTTGACCTGTGAGGACTTGTATTAGAGTTCAGACTCTAGATATGCCCCACTTTCTTTCTAGTAACCAAACCTCAAGAATTCCTAAGGTACTGGGAAGTACAAACCACTGCCAATATAGGCTTAGACACATTATACTTGATACTGAGATGATTGGTATGTACCATAAAAGACCTTTCCATTAAAC